TAACTCAACACCGGCTGTGAGGAGGAACACGCCGCTGCACAGATCACTGACAGGTTTATATGCAATGACATACCTCCTTTGATCCCAGTCTGTGTGGACAGTACCACTTGCTGACTCGGCACCATCCACAGACAGTTTAACTTGACATAAGTTGAATCCAACATCATTTTACTTCAAATAAGTGCAGCATAGAGGGTGTTTTTCCAGTTTTTGAAGTATAAGAAAACAATGACTTACTACACCTTGTCCCTGCACTGACCAACTTTGACTGAAGGAACATAGAAGGAGCAGGACAGGTCTAGCTAGGACTGTACTAACTAGCTCTAAACAGGAGTGGAGAACAGAGAGAGACACCAAATTCAAAAGATAAACAAGTTGCTGTGGTACTGAATTCACCACTAGATGGAAGCAGATACCATACATCAATAATATAACTTCAATTCAGTTACATAAGTTCAGTTCAATGCAATGACATGGGGCAGAACATGGACCTTGTGTACAAGGGTTGTAGGCCTTTCTCTGAATAAACTGTTTTCAATCAATATGTTTTTCTCTTTATAGTTCTCAGTGGTCTTTTTAAATCGAATTACCTTTGCAACATGCTCTCCTACTGCAAGCCTGATTATAGGCTTGGTGACAGAGTTCAAGCAATTATACTAGCTGAATTGAAAAATGAGAGCATGACATTTGAATGTTTTCATAAAAGGATCTAAAGGGTGTTTTACACATTTCTACAGATATGTCCTTTAATTCTCCTTTTATATCAACCAAGTTTTAATTCTGGTTTTCTTTCTTTTAATGTGGCTTCTGAAAGCGGTGATTTGCTATACAATATAATACATTTCCAGCAAAAAATAGATAATACAAAAGGTATTTAAAAAAAAAAGTAATTTAACAGGTGATAATTGCATGTTCGGATGCTGTTTTGTCAGTCTGGGTACCGCTCTCTTCCCTTAGATTATGCAGAATTTAATTTCATGATTAACCATGCTTGCAGAGAGCTAAATATACCACAAGTGGCTCTTTTATCACTGCAGGTGCCTTTGCAATAAGCCGACTTTGGTTCTTTGAAGGTGAGTCCCACTGCCACAGACGGATCCCACTCATATTCTAACCAAGAGCCCTGCAATTCCTTCCTCCTTATAAGGTACCAGACACACATAGCTCTTCTCAGCATGCAGCATTAAACACACACAAATCCAATCTGTTAATTTTCCATTATTAGAATTGGATGATTCATGCATATACAGTACTTTGTGCTTCATATCAGTTGGCTGCCCAATCTTATTGTCCTTTAAGGCAGAGGTCCTCATCTTGAGGAACCTCAGGACTAGGGATGCGCCAATGCCGTTTTTTCGGTATCGAGTACCGATACTTTTTTCCGCTACTCACTGATACAGAATACCGATACCGGAAGTCCCATTAAGGAAGCCAGGCGGCGTGTAATGACTTGCCACCTGGCTTCCTAAATAGCCGGGAAGCCGTGCGGCATTTAAAAACTCGCCGCCTGGCTCCCTGATTAGCAGGAAAGCTGTCTCTAGGTAACGAGAAAGCATGGAGGCAGCTTTCTGGCCAATCAGGCAGCCGGGCGCTGTGTAATGACCCGGCGCGCAGCTTGCTGATTGGCCGGGAAGCCGGCTCCATGCTCCCTCATCACTTGAGGAGGGAGAATGAAGTCGGCTTCCTGGCCATCAGAAAGCCAGGCACCGCGTCATTACACAGCGCCCGGCTTCCTGTTTGGCCAGCTTCCCGACAAACAGGGAAGCCGGGCAGCGAGTCATTACACACTGCCCGGCTTCCTTATTGGCCGGGAAGCCGGCTTCATGCTCCCTTGTCACAAGTGAAATGACTCGCTGCCCGGCTTCATGATAACGGAAGCTAAAGTATTTTATACATCAGCCACTTAGTTTTGTAAGGCCGCTACAGAAAGATAAATGCTCACTTGATTTCTGGTACAATCAACAGGTATTTGTCTGTGCTTCCAGCATTTTTAGAGACAAAACATGGGAAAATTTGCATGTATTGCAGAGATGTGCTTTTGATTTTTGCCAAGACCTACACTTTAACAGTAGAAATAGCTTCCCAGGGTGTACTTTATCCTATCTCTTTCAACATATAAATGGCAGCATGATATTTCTCACACTTTGTTTTGTGCACAAACAATACGGTATGAGCTGAAATTCCCCTTTAGCCGCTCCCATTCTTTATATTGTCTGTTGTTGGGAAGACGGACTGTATTGTCTAGATTCTGTTCTAACCTCTACGAGGCTTCAAGTTGTGCTTTTCATCCAAGATACATCTGGAAATCCTGTCACTGACTTCTCTGATCTACACTGTATGCAAACCCGTCTCGTTAAAAAAATCTTACAATATACAGCTCAAGTAATGAATTTCGCAGATATGTTGTGAAATCTTGTTATAATTATAGCCAGCTCTTACTGCTCTGTCAAATTGTAGAAATAAATATTGTGTTAATTAGGCAAGTTGAGGGAAGTAAAACAATAAATATGTAATAAAAATAAATATGAATTGTTTTGTTGCACATTGTACCTGGTAATCCATTGTTAGCATGGATGATAATGACTGTACAGCACATGATTATCGTGGAGTGTCTGAAAGTATGTGCAAAAGTTACAAGGGATGGGCAAGAGAGACAGGCTGAAAGGATAGCCAGCGTTATGGCAGGATCACCAAAATGCAACAGATTTTGGTCTCATTAGAGACTTCCATTCTCTACTGGAAGTCCCTCCCTCATTGGTTGACAGCTTTCAATGCTAGCAAGGGAACAATGATTGGGCAACTCCATGCTTGTTCATGCAGCAGAGAAGCGACACCATAAGCGACACCATTGAGTTTTAGCGAGTGTGACATATAGTAGACCTTATACAAAAGAAGACATCACCAGAATCCCTCTGCACAATTCTTGTTCAAACTTGCAGGCCAACTGTGGCCTAGAGAGCAGTGGTGGAACAATCGCCATAGCGACCTAGGCGGCCACTATGGGGCCCAGGGCACAGGGGGGCCCAGCCAGGACAACCCCCCCTGATGGTGTGCGGGCCGCCTGGGTCGCTATGGCATCTCAGGCTGCTGGCTATCACTGGTGGCTGTGAGGAGGAATGCGCTGCTATTCACAACACTGACAACCTGTCAGTGATGTGTGCAGCGGCGCGTTCCTCCTCACAGCCGCTGAGTCGGTGACAGCCAGCAGCTTTGGTGGAGGTGGCCCAGTGACAGAGGAGGCGGAGCCCACCAGCGATCATGGAGGAGAAGGAGGAGGACAGAGGATCGGGGCTGACAGGTAAGAGGGCTTGACCGCCCACCTGAGACCCTGCAGAGCCCACCATAGACAGTCTAAGGTGGGCTCTGCAGGGTCACTCTCAGGTGGGCTGTTTGGGTTATTAGGTGGGCGTAACAAGAATCGCAGGGCCCCATACAAAATTTTGCTATGGGACCCTGTGATTTCTAGTTACGCCCCTGCTTGGGAGCATCAAAAGCTAAAGCAGTGTTGGAGGTTTGACAAATATATCACTCAGCTGAATAAACTTGACCTTAGACCCGGTGAGTACCTGGCCATGGCTGTCATACCAATCCGCTGGCTTCAGACCAAGTATGCAGCCATTGAGGTTAGAACACCTGATCAGAACTTGGCCCAGGTATATGATACAGCTAGTAGTAGTCACATTCAACTGGACTTGTTCTTTAAAGTTGAAGAAATGTCCCAGGTTATCAAATCCACTTCTTCAGTTCTGATGAGTCTCAGGAAAATACCCCCCAGCATTTATATCCACACAGGTAGCACAGACACCTTAATCCAGGGGTGGGCAAATTACGACCCTCCAACTGTTGTGGAACTGCAAATCCCGGAGCAATATTTAACACTCTTGATTTCATTGTAAAATTCATAATAAATTAGATCAGTCAATATATAATTTGTAAGATCAGTCAACATATTGTTATATAATTTCATATTGTTAAATGTTCCAATCACAAATCTGTACTTTTCCATTCTTCGACGTGTTTCGCCTTAGCTTTTTCAATAACTTTATAGCAGTGGCCTGTAGAATCCATATGAATATTATAGTGAGCACTCAAATAATTGAAAATAGCAATTAGCCATACATAACACTAACTGACATAGATCAATGAATGAGATAAATACATAAATACCATGTATAAGATTTCTGGGGACGAGCAGATTCGCATCTAGGGGAGTCCCTCCACTCCTCCAGGAGAAGAGAAGCAGGAAAAACTCAGGGTATGTATGGAAGAGGAGGCATCTATATCTGTCCTTATGCGACCTACAAGATTAAATTATAAACCAATGCTCTCCTATGTATAACTTCATGTGCATACAAGGTAATGCACCTAACAAAACCACCTAAATGTGAGATACAATGAAACAGCTTCTCTGAACCTTACTAAATCAGTGATTAAATGTATCCAGTAAATAATGATGCATTGATAAAACCACAATATTGATATGTATGTAAGTTCAATGTATTTATTCTTTGAAAAACTTATACAATGTATGGACAATTAAATATACTGTACATCAAATCAAGTTAAGTAATAGTACACAATTGGTTTCATTCTATTTATTTACTTATTTGTATATTGGGCATTTGTAAATATTATTTTTACATTATGAAGGAATTCCGAGATAGAATTTAGTTTACACAAGAATGGAGACATATAAAATAACATCGACTCACTTAACATTGGCACAAGTCCCTTTGGGTCATTGACGGTTCATAGGTCCCTGATTTTAGATGAGTGTGTTTGTCTTTTATATGCAACATTTTGCTAATCATGAAATTATGTTATTAAATATGAATTTTACTATACAATAATGAGTCATGTGGCATTATGTCTAACTGTATTTCCTTGCATTGTTTATGAGTCACCTACAAAGCCCCATTTATTTATTTTTGGTATTTACGATTGTATTTAGGGGTTGGTGTCTCGGTTTAGTACTGATCCCTACATTTTTCTTCTTTCAGTATTTGGTCATTCTTATTTCAGTCTATGCAGCAGAACTTGCTGCTGGTGTCCTGGCATATATATACTATGAAACGGTAAGTGTTATGTTACATTCTATGTAGTTTTTGTCTTGGTACTGTTACTGCTGCAAGATGAGAATATTGTGTACTTACCTCTTGGACAATCAGTTGTCTCATCCCTAGAGCAGGAAGGAACAGCTGCAGTCCAGTGGGAGAGGAGCTTATTACTGTTGGGTGGGGCTTAGAGCGGAAACAAAGTCTGCACATACTCACTTCCACGGCTGTCCCTATAATGAGGCAGCTTCAGGCAGCATCTAATTGTGTCATGTGAGGGGGGTGTCTGCCGCCCCCTTTCTGGTATTTTTGGCCGTACATCGGCTAAAATCAGCCATACACCAGCTGCCTTCGGTCAGCCGAACATGCTGAAATGCAGAAGGAGTTCGACTCAGCCGATCCAACATCTGGATCGAGCTCCGGCAGCTCACTCGATGCCGTTCGCCCCTATTCTCATAGGGGCCGAACGGCATTAAATGAATAGCCGAGCGGCATTCGGCTCGACTATTCTTCTTGGTACCTTGGAAGAAAAAAGAAAAAAAAAGTTGAAAAATTGTGTTAAAATGTAGGAAATAAAAAAAAAATAGTTTAACGAAAAGAAAAAAAACAAGAGAAAATGAAAAATTATTTAAAAAAAACGCTGGCAAAGATACCGGCAAAAGAAAAACAATTGGGCAGAGCTAGCAGTGACAGCTAGCTCCGCCCAACTGTTTCCTATTGGCCGGCACCTGCCAGAGTCTTCTAGCAGGTCCCGGCCAATGAATAACAACTGGGTGGAGCTGGTCGTGACGTCACGTCCGGCTCTGACTAGTTGTTATGGCTTAATGACAGATCAGTGTCCCCAGGTCATTTGGGGACGCTGATCTGTCATTACAACTGGGCGGAGCAAGCCGTGAGATCACGGCTTGCTCCGCCCAGCTGTCATTTGAATGGAGATTGGTTGGCCTTGGCCAACCTTTCTCCAAGCTTCGGCTGTCACTACGGCTCAGTCGAGCCGAAGCGTATGCCTTCGGCTCGGCTGAGTCACTCGGCTGCTGTACGGGCTATTGTGACTAGCCCATACAGCAGCCGTTCGGTTTGACTGAACCAAAGGGCAGAGGCGGCCAAAGAGAGCCGAAGGATCAGCCGAATCTATGGCTGGATCCTTCGGCTCTTTAATGAATAACCCCCTAAGAATTCAATGTGATTTTGCAATGCAGCACAGCACAACGCACTGAATGTGCAGTGTGGTGCACTGCAGTGCAGGTCTCTTGCCCACTACTGTAACAGTGAGTTGGGATGTCATTCTAAATGAATGCACTACAATGCATGTTTTACCGGGCATTAACGCAACACAAATTTATGACTGCTAAACTATTGTGTGGCTCCCTGGACATATTGTGTGGCTCACTAAGGACCACGACTGCTTTTTACAATGCGGCTGGAAGTCTCGTTGTTTACAATGTATTACTGCTCTACGGGCACAGTGACTCCACCTGGCACTGCTTTGCCTAATACACCCACCACTGCTCCTTATGTTACATCACCAATGTTCTCTCCATTATACAGATAAGTGAAGAATTAAAAGACAGTCTTAATGAGACAATTATAAATAATTATGCTCAGCCGGGGATGAATGATGTCACATATGCCATAGATCATCTGCAGCAGGACGTAAGTGTTTTTATTCATCTACTTATATTGCTGTATTGAGATGAGTTGAATTAAAACTTTAACTCTTTCCAAATGAAAATTACAGATGTACTCATGTACGTCATATAGACCATGTTTTTTTTAGAAACACTCAAGATAGGCATCACTGTAAATCATTATCTAGTTCTGTGTCTGCATTTTTTAGAACACAAAATAGATCTTCAGAATTCCCAGCAAGCATTGCTTCAATTCTGAGGCTGCACTGTGAAACTAAGGTGTTAATTTATAAAAGTTCCATTCGCATGGCCCTAGTGCCCCTAGATGGTGCTGGCGAGTATAGAAATTTCACATACCCATCAGTGCCTTGTAGGGGCGCTAGTGCCGTGTGAAGGGAATCTGCACGGCCAAAGTTTATAAATGAACCCCTTGGTGTTGGGCCGTAGAAGCAACACTTGGTCACATGTCTCTTTATGCAGGACATTGCTCAATTACCACAGTCATATTGGAGCCACTATGTCATCATGATCTCATCTGCATGTCAAGATGAAACTTTTGTAAATTAACCCCTACGTTTAGAGTAATACTAGTGGTCATATTTGACCCCTTAGGGTGACATCAGGTTCCTGCTGAGATTCAGTTTCTGATACAGTTAAAGAGGACATGAACTGTGGAAGCTGTGTCCAAAAAAGTCATGCAGAGGGCTTCCCTATATGATAGAGATAAAGTAGAACTCTTAAAGTAGTAGTAGTAGTAGTAGTAGTAGTAGTAGAAGTAGTAAAGTAGACCAGCAGAAAGAGGGGCAGCACTAGGAGTGAATATGCTGACAGGAAGAGAGAGCAAAGAGATGATCAAGCAGATAGGTTATCTAGCTAGGTTGTATAGTGCAGTAGAAAAGAAGTCTGGTCAGCAGGCTGGCAGGGCTGTCTGGCAGGATTGTGTAATTCCTAGGACTGGATGGACAGAAATATAAATCCTCTAGCAGATACAGCAGTTCCCATACATGTATTTCATCTAGGGTTGCACCGGTACCGTTTTTTTGGTATCGAGTACGAGTGTCGATATTTTTTTCCCCAGTACTTGCCGATACTGAATACTGATACCGGAAGTCCCATTAAGGAAGCCGGACAACATGTAATGACTCTGCTGCCCGTCTTCCTGATTAGCTGGGAAGCCGGCTCCATGCTCCCTCATCACCAAGTGACCACGGAGCATGGAGTCGGCTTCCTGACCAATCAGTAAGCTGGGGAGTGCATCATTACCTTCCTCCTGGCTTCCTGATTGGCTGGGAAGCCGGCTCCATGCTCCCTCATCACCAAGTGACCACGGAGCATGGAGTCGGCTTCCTGACCAATCAGTAAGCTGGGGAGTGCATCATTACCTTCCTCCTGGCTTCCTGATTGGCTGGGAAGCCAGCTCCATGCTCCCTGGTGATGAGGGAACATGGAGATAGCTTCCTGGCCAAACAGGAACCCGGACAGTGTGTAATGACTCGCCGCTCGGCTTCCTGATACTGGAAGTTCCGGTGTCGAGATAAGTATCAGGAGTATTTGGGCGAGTATAAGTACTTGCCCAAATACTTGGTATCGGCACCATTGAAATCAGTGCACCCCTAATTTCATCCTTGGCTGTTTGCCTGGAGTTTAGCTTTAAGCTAAATATCTGCAGTCAACAAAAATGGTGACATAAAGTTGAACTCCAGGCAGCTATGAAATACACTAATTAATGTGGCTCTCTAATCGTTTTTTTAAAATGCAAATAATGTACCTGAATTTGACCTGGCAGATTCTGCTCTTCTTGGCCCCATAAACTTTAATGGAAATGCTCAAAAATGTGCGTTTGCTGAGTTTTTTCACTTTCTATCAGGCGTTCTATGCATGTTTGTGTATACACAAAAATGTGTCATGATTTGCTTACAAAAATGCGTGACTGTATGTTTTACGTGTGTAAAAATGTGCGAAAACGTGCTACACAAAACGAATATATTTATTATCGCTCAGGTGTGAATTGTTGGTTATGTGTTTAGATGAAGCACTGAGATCTAGATGAATTCTGAATATGATGTTAAGGTTTGAACATTCAATACAGACACAGATTAACCTGTTGTGATATATAACATGTCTTTACTTATCCTAAAATGAGATTAAACCAAGTCTTCTAAAGAAACAATAATATTGAGTATTTTCAACAAAGGATCATTAATTAGATATGTATTGATTAGAACAACTTGCATATGACATTCTTTATTCTTTCAAGCAGAAGTGCAACTCTAACATATTAACATGAAAAACCATATTGGTTGTAATGCCATTGCACATATTACCTATTAGCTGTCCATTCAGGAAGGAACCCGGAAATGGAAGCCCAAAGAGATTAGTTCTGATTGGATCTCTTCCCAAATCGTCTCTCCCTAACATTTCAGTCTAATTTTAGTTAGTCAACTGAAATGTCAATATATTTTCATTATAATTTTAGTCATCATAACTTAGTTTTTATTTAGTTTTAGTCACTGAAATAATGTTGTTGACGAAAACTATAGCGACAATGATTAACACTGCTATGTACAGCAGAGCTCAGAGAGGGTGAGCGAGAAGCTTTGCAAAGAATCAACCAGTTTTGCTGCAATACTCATGTGCTAACAATGAACATGCTGATACGAGGAGGAAGCAGAGTGACAGAGAGATGAGCTCAACAGTCTGATGCTTCTACCTTCACTGCTTAGTCACAGGGTGGAAGAGAGACCTAAGTGTAACTTACAGTGACACTAAGCTCAGGAGTTCATAAAAATGCATTCAAGTACCTTAACTATTAACAAAAATGCATCTTATTTGTGTATCACTCGGCTGTAGATCCTCAAATCATCTCTAAATTGGTGCTGACACTGTCCTTCCTTCTGGAGGGTGGCTACTTTTGTTCACCATGGTTCCTGTGTGTGTTGTAACATAGTCACCGGTCCAAGATCACTCCCATGATGGACATGGACTACAATCTCAAGTTTAGACTACTAATTTGTATTGAGATTGTAGTCCATCACCGGAGTGAGCTTGGACCGGTGTCTACTTTACAACACACACAGGGACCATGGGGAACAAAAGTAGCCACCCTCCAGAAGGAAGGACATTGTCAGCACCCATTCAGAGATGATTTGAGGATTTACAGCCGAGTGATACACAAATAAGATACATTTATGTTAATAGTTAAAGTGACATTAAAGGATCATTTTTTCCCCTCCCCCAATGTTAATGTCAGCCCTTACCTTAAATGATGTATCTTAATCCGATTTTCCTCTGCTCGCAGGCACTTCCAATCCAGCAGTGTCTGCATGCGGGTGCACGCGTCCATAGACTTACCTTGCGTCTCTGCTCGTCTCCCGGCCGAAAAACCGAACTGCGCATGCGCCCACCCTAAGATGCTTTGCGGCCGCCGGAGCAGTTTTGTTTTCTCGCATGGGAGCGCGCAGCCAAAACAAGGTAAGTGTAAAGCGCTGATACGGCGGTTTCTTTTTTTTAAAAAAACTTTTTGCCTTTATCTACTGCTTGATAGCAGTAGATATAGGCAAAAAAAACTGAGGCTTTAGAACCACTTTAAGGTACTTGAATGTATTTCTTAGATATAACACCTGAATTCAATGTCACCATAACTGCAGCAAAGCAAAACCAGGTCTCTCTCCTGCCTGACAGAATTGTGCTGTGTTGCAAAGCTATCTAAACCTCAGCACTGGATGGACAGATATAAAAAAAAAAACCTTTTGGCAGGTAACACAGCTCCCTTATATCTATTTCATTTCTGTATTCAGTTATTTGCTGGGAGTTCAGCTTTATGCTCAGCCAGCCTTTCAGTGTCAGATGTTTATAGTAGGCATTTGTTATGACCGCAAGCAGTGGTATTCTCGGAGCTCAGGGCAGCCGCTCATCATCATGTGACCTGATTTTAGAAGACAATTTTATGGTACTTTCACAATGCATTTTTCTAGGTTGAGGTTTTAAGGCATACACTGGTACATTCTTTGTTCTGGTGTCTTAACCTTTAGTTTAGCACATCCAGTCTACAGCTGAGTTGGGAGCATAAAAAAAGGTTGGGAAAAAAAATTGTCTTTTCGGCTTTGAGTTAGTACTGAGCTTGTCTCTTTTGTCCTGTGTGCCTCAGTTTAGGTGTTGTGGCAGCAGCAGTTATGAAGACTGGAGGTACAGCTTATATGCGATTACAGCTAATAACAGCGGAAACATTGTCCCAGATAGCTGCTGTAAAACCATGACTGCGGAGTGCGGGAGACGAGACCACCCTTCTAATATATACAGAGTGGAGGTAAGGAGAATGAGATCTGCTCTCTATAACCACAGATAGATGCAGGTATGGGTAGTTGCCAAGGACAGGCTCTTCCTAGGGGTACAGGAGAACAATGGTCATGATACTGCCAGTACATGGATGCTTCACATTTCACATTTAAAGAAGGACTCTGAGTGAAACAAAAAACTTACCTTTGCACTGCAAGGGTTAAGTGCTCATTATGTCCTGGGGACACTATTAAAGGTGTTTTACTTAAGTATGGTATACACGGGTAGATTTTCAAACGAAAGTTCGTACCACAAAATCCCATCGAAACGTTAGATAATGCTGTCAGAGACTTGCCGGTTTTCGTTTTTATTTAACATTTCATTTTCTGAATGAAAACCAGATCCACTGTTAGAATTTCATTCCATCGAGAAAATTTTCCAGCATGGGTCCACAAATTTTTTAATCACGGCGGTTGAAATCGATCATCGCATCAATGATTCGAAAGTCGAACGAAATGAGAAGGGCCCCTCCCTGAAATTACTTTTTTTCAGGTTGGGATCCCTGGTGTGTTAGTGTTGATGCATCCATTCCATTTCTAGATCTAGATTTCTATATTACGTTTTGTTGTTTTTTTTTATTGCGGAAGAGACAAGTAGCATGCCTGCAATAAAGAGCCTGTCTGTTCACAAATTAAAATGACCTTAAGGGCTTTTTAACACCATGTCTTGATCATGTCCAGACCAGAACACTTTGTTCCCAATAAAGCATCCCAATGTATCCCTATGGTATTTCTGGGCTCTGTTCACACCAGTGTAGTCCGTTCCAGTCCAGACTTGCATATGTACTCAGTACTTGGTTTGGGCCCCTTTTGCAGCAATTACTGCAATTACTTTTGCATGATATTCTAATTATTCGAGTTTCACCCTTTAGAATATATACTGCTAATACAGTGCAGACAATACATAATTGCTTAATAAATCCCCCCAAAATCTGCCCTCACTCACTGTGAGTCACTGTGCCAGAGAGAGCAGGGACGAGTCAGCGGCAGCGCTGGTCCAGGTGGGGTCCTAATTTAGCTGGCTTAGAGGTGCCTGCCAGCTAAATTAGAACCCCACCTGGAGCTCCTCCCACTGGACCAGCGCTGACTGGCCGCTGCGGGTTTTTTTTTTCTTACTTACCTCTCCTATCGTCGCGTCACTGCTGCTAGCATCGGTATCAGGACATCCCTAATGGAAACACATCAAAAACGCATACAAAAGCATGCAAACGCAAAGGAACGTAATGGAATGCACCTGAAAGCCCATTTTAAGCTAAAAAAAAGCCGCAAAATCGTGGTAAAAACATGGCAAAGCACAATTCACCCCATTCCAGATCTGGTCCGGAAAAGGGTGTGATCCTGGCCTAAACTCCAACAGAACAGTTAGTTGAAATCGGCTAAATACATTCCAGGTACATTAAAAAAGCTGTTTAAAGTCTAAGGCTTGGTACACATCTGAGTGATCTTGAGCAATTGTGCTCGTTTTCGCACCGCGTTTGACGCGTGGCCCCATTGTCATATCCGCACGGCAATTACGGCAAAGAGGCTCCTGCACCTTTTTGTACGATGAGTGACCTGTGTTTTTTCTGGCGCGTTTGTGGACAATTGTACACGTGGAAACGTGGCGGAAAACCGCGTCATTTGCAGGCCCCATTTGCCATTACATTACATTGCATTTGTGTGCAATTCCAAGAACACACAGCAAAAGAGCGTGAACCAGGCCTAACAGTTCATGCATGCTGCAGAGAAAGGCCCTTGCTCTCTGTGTGGTTCTTCAGCAGATGTCCGACATGCCTCTTGCTCAGCCAGAGCTGAAGATCTCCATAGCAGTCAGAATGGTCTTTGCTGACAGGAGTGCTCAAGCTCTGACTTACCAGGAGGCATGTTGGACCTCTGCAGAGGGACCACTGTTTCCACACAGAGAGCATGGGTCCTTCTCTGCAGAATGCAGACAGAGGACAGGTCTATCTTATCAGGCTGTGGCAACTTTTAAAGACTGTAAGACTTTGCATACATTCTCTATGCTTCTAGAATATATTTCACTTCTCTGAGGCCTTATTCACACCAAAAGCGTGTGCGTTCCAGAGCGGTAGCTGCTTTAGCGATCGCTGATAAACTTCCCCTTGCGTTTTGGGGCGGGAGGGGGTGTGGCGGTTCATTGTATTCAATGGCACCACTTCCATGCCCCCCCCCCCCCCCCCC